TGCGTATGGTTAGTATGTGTTCACACCTCTCTGCTTGTGTGTGAGAGTAGGCTATAGCGCTGTATTAGCAGAAGATGAGGTTAATGGAAGTGCTGTGGCTCGGTGGATAGTGTGCTGGACTTTGAATCAGGGGATAGCAAGTTCGAGTCGCATGTCGTTGCGTCCCTGGGCAAGACACTTCACCCCAAATTGCTCCTGTGGGGATTGCCCACAGTACTGAATGTATGTAAGTCGCTTTGGATAAAAGCGTCTAACAAATGACATGTAATGTAATAAAAGTGTCTGAGCTTCAGGCATCCCAGCTGTCTCATAACTTTATGTTTGCTATTTGATCTCAGTCATTGGTTATTGATCATAAGCTTCCCTGTTGCATTGTTTTTGAAAGAAAGCAGAACACAGAAGGCTGCTTATAAATCCGATCTTTGTAAGACTTTTTTGTTACCATAATGTGAATGTCAGGTTTCTTTTTAACTTGAGGTCAGGGGTTCATTCAGTCTGCTGTGGTCCGAGACCCCAGTAGCGAAGCCTGCGCAAGTAATGCGATAATAAAGGATTTTTTATTGCATTTTAGGGAGGACAGGGTATTTTATATTTTTGATTTGTTCTAATTTCAAAGCTTCGTTTTAAATGCCTCCAGTTATGTCCTTTAACTTCTTATACAGTGGACCATACTGTATATAGCTTATGGATGTCACAATACCAGAAATAACATTATAATCTACGTTTGCACAACACACAATTTCACAGAATACAGCATTTGGTCAATATGAGGGCAAACACTGATCAAATAATATTGCCTTTATCAGCCTTAGCTTTATTCATTTACAAATGTCTGCATGCTAACAAAATGCTATGATAGTAAATATCAGTTTATTATTATTAATATTTGTCACTGTGTAGATGTTTTTATGGTGATGTTAGCGCAAAGAACAGCCTCACTACTGACTCAGCTGTAGATTCTTAGTCATGGTCTTTGTGGATTTCAGCAGTTTTGTTCATAATGTTAATGTACATGCAAAACTAATACACTTTTGTGCACTTGCATATATTTGTGTCTTCCTAGGCTGGTACACTTGCATTTGAAGTCAGTGTGTGAGCAAACAGAAATGTAGTAACTCACAGACACAGGAGATAGGTGATTCCACAAACGAGGGATCAGACCTGATTAACAGGGCAACAGTAGAGAGGGGGGGGCACACAGTGAGATGAAGGGTTAAGGGTAGAAGGCTGATGGTGTGTGTCTCGTCCCCCTGCAGTCTCCTCATCAGTATGTGTGAGAGTCCTCTCATCTCTATTCTAAGCAAATAAACTGCAAGCAGTCTTTTGCTCGCCAGCTTTGACCACACAGACGCATCCAAACAAACACACATTTAAAAGCCTACCAGCAAACTCTTCCACTCTCCATGTTTGCTCCTCTGACACACCCCGAGCTGTTTATGTCCACCACTAAGTTTAAGTGTTGGAAGTTTTTTAACGTTTCCCCGGGAATGAGTGCATGAAAGAATCCATGGAGATAGGAAGAGGGAGGGAAAAGGCAGATTAGTTAAGGAGTAGGGGAATATAATTAGCCTAGCAGCAGAAGGGGATTTGTGCTCCACCGGCTGCCCTCTGCTCCAGCCCCCCCCCCCCCCCCCCCCCACCATCCTACCTTCCTGTCCTTCCTTGGAATCCTATGCTACTCTGTGCCATCAATAGATGCACTTGCGACAGGGTATGCATCCGAGTGTGTGTTTGAGCAGAGCTGGGCCCATTCTCACCTACAGTGTTTGTTTTAGAGGTTGTGCAGACAGTGACTCAGCTCAGTTTTTTTTTTCCTTTTTTCTCGAGTCCCCAATGTGGCACTGCAGCAGAGACACCTTGTGTGTAGTTAATGCTGACATCTCCTCACAGGATGCATGTGAGAACATCTCGGCGTGATTCTGTGTGACCCGGCACGTTACAACAAAAGAAGGTTCTTCCCATGCCTGCACTTAGAGGCTGCGATTTGGAGTCTATTAGAGTGTGCAGCGGAGCTTTGCAGGTGCAGCGAGGGATCTCTCTGGATGACAGAGTTTGTTTGAGTGTGTGAGACCAGCGGCCGGCTCTCATGTCTCTGCATGAGTTTCTGAGGGAGGGGGGTGAGGCATCGTACCGGATCGTAAACCGCCTCAGTCATCTGATCCAGAACCTGGACATCTCTGGACTCGGATCTCCTTTCCCTTTCAACCCTGCCAGCCGCAGGAACTCCTGGAGAGACTGGGATGGTAAGATCGAGAGAGGAAGAGTGTGTTTCTGGGTGCAACTTCATAATGTTCAGAAGACTTAATGCCTATATGTGTGTGTTTCTGTGAAATGTATTCCTTAGTTAAGCTCTGGCCAGAGTTCTGCAGGGCATCACGCCCAGAGCCTCACACAGTGTTTCCTGTGGGCTTCCCTTGTTCCCCACTGGCCTGTTTCTGTGTCTTTGTGCAGTTTGTGTCTGTGTGTGTCTGTGTGAGAGAGTGCGTGACTGAGAATCTTAAACTGCCACTTCAGTTTCCAACATACTCTGCAGCTGTGGTTATATTTATTTCCGTAACAGCTACGGATTCTTCGGAAAATGCCGAAATTGCAACACACAGCAGCTTCCAAGCACACGAGCTGGTGCAAAGGAGTGGGAACTGCTGATTACAGCTGCTAAATTGGCTTCCTGTCAGCCCGATCGTTGCCACTTCGAGACCTTGGTTTTTTCCCACTGCATAAAAAAGGACATTTGCAAGGTTTTACTAACACTCAAGGGGGAAAAGCATGGTGAGGAAGGCCAGGATGAGTGCTACTCAATGGGATAGCGGGATGCTGATGGTCCCTCTTAAGCCACGTGAGTCGGGAGATGTATGGATGGTATTTCTTGTGGCTCTTGGTGTGGGTAGACTGCATGTGTATTTTTGTGAGTGCATGAAAATCTGACCTTGTATCCGTCTGTGTAAGCTATTTTCCTATAGCTTGCTGACACAATGTATGTGAAAGCCTCCTATATTTGTCTCCCAGTGGGGTTGTACATGCAGCCTATGTTTGTTTTGTCCCTGGATGAAGGTCGCTACATGTTCAGATCTATAGCTGTGTCTGGCATTATGGATTATTTGTGTGTGTGTCTGCAGATATGAACATATGTGTACTTTTATTATCTGCTTCGCTCGTCTGTACCTCTGGCTGCTTGGTTTCAGGCTCTGTGTCCATGTCTCCCAGCTCTGTTAAAGTCATTAGCCATGAGGAGAATTCATTTAAGAGGAACTATGTTTTTGTGCTAAGCGTTTTTTGTTTTCGCAGGCTGAGGCTACCTTGAACTGATAGTGATACCATAAGAACATCTGTAAGAAAAGGAATCGTTTTTTAATGTAATAAGTATTTTCAGAATATGTTTTGTGTGTTTGCTTGCATTGTAGGTTACGCACACAATGATATTGATCTGCAAGTTATTCTACGTACAGCTGATTCTTTAGTGATTAGTGATAAGTGATTTTAGAAGAAGTCCAAATGAAACTCTGTTGTTTTGAAAATAACCTAGGATGTCTCGAAAAACATTTCAGTCCTTCAAGTGTTTGTTTTAAATGCAATTGTACCAATTTGTGGTCATTTTGCTTTGTTTAGACGGTTGGACTTCTCTCTGTTGCAATGGTGGGTTACGTTTAATTAACGATAGAAACGTAGAGAGTGTTGTAAGTTCTACAGAGAGTGACAAACTCGCTTTTAGGGGCTATATAAACAAAGATAATTTAGGACCAGGGGATCCATTTTTAGATATTAACTTAGATCCCAGCAGCTTGGATCAACAAAAGGCTTTAAAAACTGGATTCCACCCTTTTAACTGGGCGGACATAATCAATCAAACTATAATATGGCAATCTGGCAGTGAGAATCATTGTTTTTTGTTATGTGAAACATATTTTTCTTTTGCACTGACTGAATATTGTTATTGACTTGCATCGTTACGAGTCAATAAATTAGAGTAAAAGCACATTTGATACACTAGTTGCTTTCAGTCTTGGCAATCCCCCTGGCTTAATGTGACAACACAATGAATCAGTGTGTCTAAATTAGGCTCAGACTGCGAGTTGATCAGCGATCTGTCTCTTTGTTCGACCCTCTTGTTCAATTTGCGCTGCGCAGTTCAAACCCTAATGGCTCTTGTGTTTATCTCTCAAGGTTTATGACACTGATAACCTCGTGCTTGCCCTTGCGTATAAAGCAAACGCGTGTTAAACACAACCCCCACCAACACACACACGCAAATTAAAGCCTTGATACCCAAGCACACACACGTGCAGCCAGATATACATGTACACACAATCAACATCTCTTTCCATAACATTTCACCACACTTAACTTGTAATTGTAGATAATGGAGAAGTACGAGGCAGAATGGTGTCTATTAGCTTGTTTTGACTGAAATATATATTTTACATAACTCATTGAAATTGAGTTCAAATTGCCACATTCTGTGAAGAAACAGTGTCGTTCTTTGAGAGCTCTCCTCAGAATTAAGTCTTTCAGTAAAGTTGTAAGAATGGGCTCTTTTGTAAACAAGAATAGGGGCTGTGAATGGATACAGTCTGTGAATGGTTAAATGGGGACGCAGGCAGTGTTTGAATGGGCTGGTCAGAATGGAGGCTTTGTACTTGTGGTCCACATCTCCTGAGATAAGGCAGACGAGGAGCGAGAGTTTTGTTGGCCTAGGTAAATGAGCGCTGGGCAGAGGACTGAGAGCTGCAGTTTTACCACTGTGACACAACATGACAGAACCAAGCATGCTTTACTTTTTCCTGTTTCTCTCTTATTGTCAAAACTGGATCCCTTGTTTTTAGGTCAGACTAAGTCATTCATTCGCAGGTTGGAGACATTGCTATTCAAACGGGAGGGGTCAGGTAATTGTCTTTTTGTTAGGGGAGGGGAAAGGGTCGCTGGGTGAACAAGGAAGGTGGGGTTGAGTGCTACACTGTCGCTTTTGTCTACAGGGAAGGTAACCTGAGGTTGCAGTAGGAAGTCCACACGGTTACTGAGTGACGTCCTGCAGCCGAGCGGGAGGATAGATCTGCAGTCTGGTGACAGGTGGAGTCAGAATGAGAGGGATGTAGTGACAGTGATATCTTTTTTTGCAAAGCTGCATGGAAGTGTCGCAGAAGAGGAGTGAGCAAGACGTAGACTTGGACATCAGGATGGGGGGAGAGAAGAGAGAAGATTCAGGCTTCTTGATGGAAGAGGATGTCGAGGAAGACTCTGGGATTGGCTTTAAAGTGGATGGGAGTTTTGCTGTAAGTGCAGGCTCAGCAGAACACTCTGAAATAGAGGAGTTGGACTGGAGTGGAACTACAGGACACACAGATGTTGTGTTAAAAAACGTTGAACAAAAAGAGGGAAGTAAAGGAGGAGATGGAGGAAGTCAAACTTCAGAGGAAGGTGAGACGGAGGCTGATTCAGGGTCAACGGAGAATGAAGAGACTGAAGCAGAGAAAAGAGATGAGATTGATGATCAGAATGAATACATGAAGGAAGAAGAGATGGAGGGGTCGTTGGATGTGTGTTTGTGGCCGGTAGAGGAGGGTGGGGGTCATGTACGCATCTCTCTGGAGGAGGTGGAAAGATACTACAGATTTTCTCGCTGCTGCCACTGGCTGTGTGGTAGGTGTCAAATTATTTATCATTTTCTCTTGTCTTTTCTGTTGATGTGGCACACTGCTATTGACGCAGTCTTTAGTTACACTATTTGTTTGCAGTCTATCCCTGTTTTATATTGAAACTACATTTTGGTTCTGTTATCTTTACCGACATTGTCTACCTGCACTCTACTGTTTGTTTTCACCTGCCCGTGTTCTCAGCAAGAGTAAGGATTGGGAAAACATAGTAGTTGCTTTCTTTGTCATCATTGAAATTGTCACCCTATTATTTACTGTGCAGTTTCACATGAAGTTGGTTTTTTCTTCTTCTTTGATGTCCATTTGTTATGACTTTTTTAAAAGCTCCAAAAAGTGGAAGAAGTAGCTCAATAGATTCTGTAAATCAGAGATGCTTCATCTTTGTCATGCTGTGTGTACGTATGTGGGGATCTTGCACATATTTCAATCAAGAATAATGCATTTAGGCCAGCCACCTCTTAGTTGATAAGTCGTTTTGGTCCTTTGAAGATTTGAATGACAGGAAAATGATTAGCCCATCTCCGGGAAACACAAGAATTAAAGTGGTGCTATTGCATGATCATTTCTGAGAAACTTGGTTTGACAGTTCTGTCGATTAAATCAACTAATCAAGCATTTAAAATTGTGTTAGTCGACTTAGAATGTATGTCGAGGACAACCTATGTATTACTGCACTATATTTAGACAGAGCAATGGGTAGAGGAATTTATGTTATTGAACAGGATTTGATTAGCTGAAAAAAAACCTCTTGTCTTTTATATCTTTTTGGAAGGATTTATTAGTTTGTTGGCTATACATATTTCATTCAATTTCCACGTGTTGATTTGCTGTTTTACAACTTGTTTATATTTTGTTTTTCCTGATCACAAACCAAATCCTGCTGTACCATTGTTAACCCACTGTCTTAACCATAGCCCCTTTTAAGCCCCATCCCTGATATTATAAGCACTCATCTGCCACTGCTCAGTCCTATTTAGTGCTTTGTTGTTGTCATCCCCCTCCATGACCATGACTGTAAGCCCCTTACTCCAACTTGCTGCCCTCCCCCCTCTCTGTTTATGGGAGACCTTTCTGTCCCCTGTCCTTTTGCACTGAAACTCCGACCTGTCCAATACATACAGTAGCTTAAGTATAGGATATTATCTGAATACCTTCAGATAAGGACAGTAAACACACTTTTGCTGGCGGAGTTATCTTGATGGAACAAGCTCAACAGCAGCTGGTTAAACAAGTTATACTTTTTGTTTCGTTGGACAAAGTTTGGGAATATTTGGCCTGTTGCACCAAAGTGTTAGGCTTCTGCTGAAGTCCAGTGTAATCTGTGTCAGTAGAGGCAGGCAGTCCAGGTGTGTGACTGTGACCCACTAACGTTTGACTCTTCGCCCACAAACGTGAGCGTGAGTGCACACTAATCCCCACCGATAAGCCTTATAAAGAAGATTAGCTTCTCAACCAGCGGGAGCTGTATGTATGTTTACGTGTGTGTATCTAGGAAATGTTGGAATAATGTGAGTGTTTGGTGTGTAAGTGTTGTATTATCTAGTTTGTACACCAGAAAATAGGTCACATTTTTACGTCGTCTTTATTTCAAGGTTAAAACAGCAAATATCTTCTAAAACAAATGCAGACACATGAATAAATAAACCAAAAGTAATGTGAGACCCCATCAACAAGCTTCATACTTGTTGTTTTCCTATTGAGAGGAAGTAACCTGTGGGTATCAATAAACACAGACTGATTTTCATATAGGCCACTTCCTGAACAATATTGCATTGATAAAATAAACATTTTTAACCTATACCTCCCTGTTCTTTATAAGATTCTTGTGACATCATTGATACTTGCTGATTGTCCGGTTTCTTATCTTAGAGAAACAGTAGTATCTGCCCTCGTTCTGTTGGCTGAGGGCTGTTAACAATTGTATTCTACTATGAGAACAGTGAGTGGAGACTGGAAAGACAGAAAAGTGACCAAAAAGTGATTGAAACTGGATTCCTACATCTTCCACGAGGGGATTTTCAGTAACAGAATAGCCTCACTCTGGAAACAAAGTACAGCTATTGCTGACCTGGGTGGGGGGTGGGTTTGATACGTGTGGGAGTTGCTTGGGGCAAGGTGTGGCTGTCTAAGTGAGTGAGGCTGGGTCAAAAAGTGGAAACTGATGGAGGTTTCTGTGTGAACTTGCATCCATGAGGAGCGTGTGAGCGCTCTGCAGATGGCTAGACAGTTGCAGTTTAGTGTCCTCAGGCTGTTAGTGGTCATTATTAAAATGGAAACATCAAAGATACGTTGGTCATTTATCAAGTCTCATTTACACTTGTTTTGTTCTGGTGCACACGCCCTTGCTTGAGGTTGAATTGAAAGAATAGAAAATGGTCTCAAGTAGCATCCAATATCAGTCAAACAGTTGTCCATGATCAATATCTGTTCACTGTGACATTGGAAAAAGTACAAAGAGAAAGGTCAAATGAGTTACCATTTTACCTATAGGTCTCGTAAGAATAAAATAAACTAAACTGCTTTGCTTCTAAAGTCAAATAATGTTTCTCAAATAAATAATGATAATAGAAACTGGCCCAGTGCATGAGGCTGCGTGATCAATAATGCTTGCAGCTACTGGTGGGCTATTCATTTATAATAGATGAGCCATTTTCCATATACAAACATAGGCATTCCAGTTGAAGAGAGTTTAATTGAATAGCACTTCAGGACACCATTAGTTAACAAGATTGAAATTCAATTTGATAATCAGCCTGTTTATTTGTAACATTTACGATACATAACGTGTACGTGTCTGTCAGTGTGTGTCTGTGTTCCTTGGCGTGGTAGAAAAGTGTAATATGTGCGTCAAACTGAGAGGTCTCCTGCTGCCATGCAGGATTTGAAACCACTTGCTTCAGTGAGCAGAAGCTGCAGAGAGACGAGGTCGTGTTGTTGTGAAGTTCTTTACTAACTCATTATTACCTACTGCTGTATATATAGTCCTCTTCTCATAAATACTCAGCAGCTACCTATAAACAATTCATCCATTATCAGGTAGTTACTGACTTGTTCCTCATTAGTTGTTTACTCACAGTTTCTTATTTCCACTTCCTGTTCTGGATATTGAACTCTTGTTTCTATAAATGCACTTTTTAGAAATTGCTTTAGACAATAGCATCTGCCAAATCTGAAGGCACAGGGAGTAGGATTTTCCTAGAAGAAAATGGATACATTCATAGAAAAATAATCCCTGTCAATCATCATACTTAAAGTTTCTAGGGTTTGAGCTCTATAAAACGTACTGACCAGGGGCCAGATTGTAAGCACGCACCCAAAAGGAAGATAAGAAAATGGGAAAATGCAAATACAGAGAGGCAAAACGCCAACCGGATAAAGCTCCTTCCAAGTTGAGAGTGAATCCTGGGATAGCTTTCACCCGCTGGTGTGCACCATAACCCTCTTTGAGACGGGGAGAGGTAGAGCCAATTCAATGTTGTGTTTACAAATCAAAACCTACTCATTGTACATTCAATGTAATGTTACTTAATGTGAGTATTGTGCAACAATCTTGACGTTTAATGGTAGTTTGGAAATCAATCTAACATTGTATGGCATGCTCTTTGAAATGTGTAACAGCAATGAAATGTGTCAGAAAGTTGTAGTAAATGGGCTTACTCTGGCTAAGACATTGGAGTGGTCCTTTAAGTCCCCTGAGCAGCTAAAACCTTTGATTGATGCTGTTTTGACACAACAGACATGGCACCAGCTGGTCTCAGGTTTATAGGAAGTAGGAGATTGGAAATGGCCATAGCAAGAAAGCCACACATGAATGAATCCTGTCCTTAAACTGTTTGTTTGTGTGTGTTGTGGTTTTGTGTGTAAGAGAGAGAGCGCGAGAGAGAGAGAGGGATAGATATAAAGCAAGCAATGAATGTCAGTGTACTAACACCCTGAGGCTAAGTCACCTGATAGGGCTCGTTGTCAAACAAAGAGTTAACAGCGAGACTCGTTGGTTTGTTTAAACTGGAGTCAGAGGAGGGTTTGGAGTAAAAGGGCTGTGCCTGTGAAGAAACAGTCAGTCATAATAACATAAAGTATAAAGACGACAACAACAGTCATAACGGTAATGGATATTATGTTAAACTACAAGATGGATTGAGCTCCAGTTAATATGAGACCGGATTAAGTGGGGACGAATTTGCCTGGTGTCACAGGACAGGTGTGCTGTCAAACAGGTAGAGTTGTACTGTGTATTTATCAAATGTAAAGTTGGGACGAGTTACTTTATGCTAAGAAGCCGTATGAAGGATGAGAAAGTAGTATTTCCTGAATTCTTCTTATCTTAATTTTTGCTTTTAAAGAGTATAATGACATGAAATATAACAGCCAATCAGATGACAATGATATATTCAGACAGTGTCACAAGCTGTGTGGAAGCTAGTAAGCATGCTCTTAAATTCAGCATGTGGTTGATAACTGTGAAGATAGCTTTGAAGTAGTGGCACACGATTTAAAAAAAAAAAATAATAATTGCAATTGTTTTTTACTGATCTGCAATCGCGATATGATTCACGATATTAATGGGAATGAGCATTATTACATCATTGTTATAATCCAACATTGACATATATGATAATAGCGGGATTACGTTTTTTAAAAGGATCTCTACCAACAAGATTTGTATTGATTCGAAGGCGAGACCTATCTGAAAGACCGCAATACTGTTCATTCACATATTTTACCATATTTTGCTTCAACCAAATATTGCGCCTCCTGCAATAGCCTATATTGAGATTTGGATTACACTTTGATTAACTGTGCAGCCCTACCTTAAAGCATTGTGTACCCCACTATATACGGCCTTCTTTTGGTGTTCTGTAGAAAAAGTAACGTTGCTTACGACGAAACTTGCTCCATAGCGTAGTGGTAGCTAAATGTACGTTTATGTATTATCGCTATTAGCTCCGTCATAATCAGTATGATTGTTTCAGAAAATAGTCGCTGGCCAATGAGCTCATTCATAATGTTTAGCCACTAGCGCTCCAGTGTGGGTTCAGTCTGCTGATATCTGACTTGTTGATATGACAAAGCTGCATTTTTAGAACTATATAATCTTTAAACATTGTATGTTATTTATTTTAATTATATCATTTATTCCTATTATTATAATTATTATTTATTTTAGAAATTATATTTGTTTATGATTATCATTAATCTAGGTGCCTGACAGTGTAGTTCGTGATTTCCTCGAGACTTGTTATCTTTACAGTATTAATAAACCGTACACTAAAGTTCTGTAGCCAAGAGAAAAAGTCCAATGATTTCATATTTAGTTATAAGGACAGAAACATATTTGTAAAGGGGCTTTTTAGTAATGGTATTATGAATTAAAGAGGGGGGATGTAAGCACTTGCTCTAAAGTTACATACAAACATAATACGTTTTGAACACTAACGGTTATGAGCGCTACAAATAAAACTAGAAAGACCTTTAATCCACACAGAACAACTCTACACAGCGTGGGAATATCTTGTTGTTTATCTGTATAATGTGTGTAAGGAAAATGGAGCAAATAAAGTAAGGGTGGGATGAAAAGTCAATATTGTCCTCTACTACTTTGCCTTACCTGTCTTAGCTGTACCATTGCAGCCCGTTTACAGGATCATGTCTGTCACTGCGAGACACTCCCTTCCTGTAATCCGCTGGCTTTTCTGGTCCCTGGATGACCCTGCATTGTTGTTGTTCCTCCATCATTTCCACCTGTATTTTATGCATTCAGCGCTTTCAAACTGAAGTACATCGAATTCAATTATGCAGATGCTAAAATGGGCATGCAGAAAAACGAAAGCTCTCCAGCCCTGGGCATTTTGGTGGAGTGGAAGTGCTTTAATTCAGAAAATGGAAAAGTAATGAAAAGCTGAAGAGGCCACGCTTCATGTTTTTATGGCTCTAAACTATATGTGTTCTTTTAGCTTTAATTACAGGGCTACTTTTGGCTGGATATATCATTCGTAGCACATTTAAACATCCGCTGGGCAGATGTGGCCAGTAACCGAGGAATTGTTTTTCAGGTTGCCCTGATAAAAGCCATCTTCACACAAATGTTTGCTCACCAAAATGCCCCAAGGATTGATACTGAAAACTACTTCACCTTCCAGCAGCTTCTCACGACAGTATCTGACCACAATGAGCCGGATATCTTTCATTTCCCTCAGGCCTCTCGCTGTGACGTCTCTGTTTTAAACTGCTCACGGACAGCGGTTCAGTTCAAAGAGACATGAAGCAGATAATGTTGTCTTTAGGGATTTAAAGAGCCATGTGAAATGTGTTTTGTTAATATATTTTGGGTTAGGTAGTGTGAATCCAGTGAAAGACGGGTGTTTTGATGTGTTTATTTGATATTTTAAGCTTGAGTACACTGTATGCCAGAGATGTTAATAATAATAATAATACATTTTAATTTTAGGCGCCTTTCATGACACCCAAGGACACCGTACAATTTGTTAAAATAATTAAAATGAATAAATAAATAAAACGCTAATGGGGAACAGAACATGATAACAACACAAACAGGAAATCATGGAGGAGACAGTCAAGTGGACACAAATGAAACATATAATGGGGGGCACTACAGTGAGTACACACAGAGATACATAGCGAAGCAGCAGTAGTAGTAACTGTACTCATGCCAATGTTTCTGTATTGATCTGTTTTGCCCCTCACTCCATAGATCTCATTTCAAGTTGAAATGTTGCCCAATTTCATTCAGGAAACAAAGCTGAAAAGTTCCTCATATTTACATCAGTGCATATGCTACATATTGTAGGGAGGCTGTTTATGTTTTCTGCATATTCATGAGGCTCAGCAGCTGGCAGAGACAGCTGTTTTCAGTGTAACCTACTTTTCCACATTCATTTTGTCTGACTAAATATCTCTCTTTGTGCTTTGTATTACCACTTAAAGCACACTGGAAAGATATTTCTGTGTTCAATGTTCATCGTTTAATGCTATTTATATGATTTATAGAGGTGTACAGTCTGTTAGCTCGACTTCTAATGCCATCTCCATCTCCTACTGGGGCAGTGAACCTTACATCTGATTATTTTAATCCTCATGAAGGGGAGACTTAGGGGGGATGGAGAGCTGCTGAAGGTGGAGTGAGGGGACCATAAAGACTGTTAATTTATTAATAGTGAATGCAAGTCCCCAGTAATCACAACTCCCCTTTTTATTTAGTTTGAATGCTGTCTTTCTACAGAATGAATGGCAAAGCAGTTTTTTGATATGGCCCGTAGTTTTGGGTGGAAAGTGCCAAATGAAACAAAAAACAAACATTGTACTTAAACAGACTAGCGCTGCAACAATTAGTCGACATAACAAGAATTGTTAACTAAATTAGTAATACATTTGGTTAGCAATAAATAATAAACCTACTAATACATTTAAATACAATTATTTCCGATTTTAGCTAGATTTCCTGCTTTTCTCAGTTTTATTTCATAATAACTGAATATCTAGGTTTGGGGCTGACAAAACAACGCCATTTATGTAAAGACATCCCCCTGGACTTTATGGAACGGGATGGACTGTTTTCACTATTTTCAGACATATCAACCAAACCCATAAGCTATAAAACATCTGGCAGATTCATCGATAATGGAAATAATAGCATCTACCCTTTCCATACTGTACATTTTCAGCATATCTGATGTCACTAATATTATCCTTTCTCTGTTTCCTCCAGATGAGATCATGCAGCTGGACAGCAGTCCCCTCCGAGCAGCTGACATCACCTCCGACCTCAAGAAGCAGTTTGCCATCCTTTCAGGTGAAACTTATTCATATCTTCTCCATCTTTCTGTCTTTGTGGGCAATTGGGGATTAGCGTTTCCCATCTCAGCTGCTGTCTGTCATTTTATTTCTTAATTACCACACACACCACTTATCATCCGTCGTCTCTGCCACCTGAGGAATCATTTATATGTAACCTCGCCGCTTGATATTTGCATAGTTAATGTGAACAGTTTTCTCCTGGCAGTTATGCTTTGCTATTCAAATGTAACCTTCCTCCTTTTCCTCTTCTCCGTTAGTCTGTCTTCTTGCTGCTGTTTCCTAATCCATATTTCTCTCACTGCCTTTGTATCTATCAAGCTTATGATAAAATACGTATTTGTGTTTTATTCCCAGATATTTGAGGCATGTTTCACAGCCAGACATTTGTCACAGTTATGATCCAGTCCTACAGTAGTATTAAAGCTCTGTGTGTCTGAGGTGACCTTGTGGCTGCAGCAGACTCAGGGAACCATTTTGCAGAAAAACATCCAAGCAGACGCTGAAACCATGACCATGCACTTGCTGTTGCTATAGCGATGAGACAAGAAAAGGCTGTCAGATTTATATTCCAGACACATGCGCTGACAGAGCAACTGTTTCACAACAGCATTTCACAAAACACTACAGCATTTCAGAAAACGCCAAATCACTCATCATTCCATCCATGTTCGTTTTAAAATCATTTTATTAAAGAACCTCAAAACACATTTTCTCCATCAGCTTCAGAAATGGAAACACAATTTTATTCAAATTTAAGAACAGTTTTTGTTTTATTATTTCATCTGAGAGTTTCTCTTAAAACCTCAATATTTAAAAATAAGAAATGCATCTGTATTGGAAGAAAAATAATTGTATCTCAAACTACAGGCTTCTTCTGTTTGCTTTAATATAGAAGTGTTTAAGATTAAATCCTTTTTATATGATAGACGTTTCCTTTCTGTTCAGTTTCCAGACTTAAAGGTGGGGTATGTAATTTATTTCAGAAACACTTTTTGTTATATTCCATGGAATGCTCTTAACATCCCGATAGCAATGAATATATGAAATGCTTTGACAATAAATACATTAAAAAAATTCATCTCTGGAAGCCGTGGTACTGTAAAAAAAACACGACCAATCATCTGAGCCGGCCCGGCTAAAGTAACTGGATGGCCTACCTGCCTGTCAGCCTTCCATCTGTGCACAAACTTATCTCGTGCCCTCATTGGTCATGTGCGCGTTCGTGTGTGTTGGAGGAGGGGCTCTGTGAGGAAGTCTGAAGGAAGAGGCAGATTTTTTCCGGTTGTGTATTTTCAAATTCTAGAGCACTCGAGCTGGTTGCTCCAAAATAACATACCCTCATACCCCACCTTTTAAGCAACACAGCTTAAGCATCAGCGCCCCCATGTGGCCACAGTGTCCTTCACTCAGTGATTATTCCCTTTTATTCCTCCTGTAATAAATCAAGAGACCTCTCCTTGGCGGTTTGATTAACACGGCGACTGACAGCATGAAAGTTATTATCAGCTCAAATGGTTTTATTGTTGCCTCAGTTATTATACCGTCATATCTTTTGAGCACTCTACTGAAATGCAACATCCCCAAGGACGCAAAACATTGTTATGTCATTTTGTATATTCACGCAAAAGGTATCAATGTTTCTGTTGTTTTTTTGTTTTCTAGGAGGAAGAGGGGATACCGGCAGCCCCGTCATTGTATTCCCAGAATTCCCTGCGTTTGGAGAGATCACGGACGGAGAGTTTCACAACGTGCTGACCTACCTGACCAGCGTACCCAGGTAAAGTCTGACACTGGCTGAATGTCACACACACAGATCTGAGATGATGAATGTGCATTAACCACAAGCCTGTCTTTTTTTCTTACCTCTTGTATCATCGCTGATTTCTATTGATATATTTCCTTGTACTTTTTTTGTTTTAACTACTAAATTCACCTGCCACAACCTGCCCAGTTGATGCTGATGAAATTGCTTGGTTTTATAGTTAAACTGCGAGCAACAGCCATAATTAAATATATACTAAGACATCGATTAATAAAGTAGAAGTGATGTTTTTGGGTTTGAAGACATGCAGGTCAGGTGAACTGAATAGATGGATGGGGGGAATAGATAGAAATTACTTGGAGAGAGGCAATATATAGATAAAGGTGTTGTTCCTGAAGATGCTTATGATGTCTGCCAGTAGGTGGCAGCGGGGGCCTCATCACAGTTTAACTGCTTAAAGGTTTATGCTGCAGAGGATTTGTGCAGTGGAAGAGACAGTCAGTGTATTGCATATATGTATTTAGGGGGAGAGTGATTCCTTGTATTAATAAGATGGCCAATTAATCATCCCTGGTCTTTATCAGTTCTCTGCAGACAGTCTTTGTACACATGGTAGACCAGACGAGACATGGGGGGAGGGGCAATGTACAAAACCCTCCCTTTCTTACAACTATTCCTCAAGAAAACCATCCCCCGTCCCATTTTCCTCTTCAATTTCATATTTGTACCTAACTATTGAGTCCTGTGTTGTCATGTGTTAGCTCTCCCTCTGGCGGTCCCACCCTTCTTTCGTCATTCCCAGAATGGCAAAGTGCTTAAAAATAGAGACTGCAGCGATGCTGACGTTTTGAATCTGAATAATACATACAGACAGCTGAGCAGAGCTGAGTCACGGAGTGTGTGTGCTCTTTTGGGTGTGTGTGATAATTCACATGAAACCTGTTCAGATATTCTATATGAAGGCAGACATGTGCTTCTTTTCTAGGCCTTTAAAACATCAATATCAATACAGCCTGTTTTGTGTCACTTACTTGAACACGTTTTTAGTCAAGATTTTAAAAAAATATTATGTTTCAACATCTGGAACATAATTTCAAGTTTTTATTTCAAATCCAAGCAAAAAAACAGGTAACAGGCTAGTAGACAGATACAATTTGCATATCATAACTTGACCTTCTTCGTGATCTGAGCCTTGAGGTTTCCAGTCATGTGACGGCAGGTCGTCCACAGGAGTGAGACTGCGTTGAGCCTCCAGCTGATCTGAGTTCAGCGGCAGATGGCTGCAGCTACCTGAGGGACCGACTCCCCGACAGGACACACAACAAATACCTTAAGATCAATATTAACGGCAGACATAGTTTCATCATGACCTTCTTGTATAGATGAGAGTAACACCTACGTCACTTCTGGGCGAAAGTTACGGCCCCGCCCGCTTTTGGGGGAAAACAACGCTGTCATTTGAATGGCGGTCAATACAAATTCTGAAGTTTTTGCCAATCCGATCAGACATTTATGAAAACCGTGGGTTTTGGGATCTTCAAAGAACCCGATTACGATGGTCAGTCAGGCAAACAATTACATTAAATCATATGAAATCGACGATCGGGCTTGTTTTCAACTTGTTTATTAACTTGCAAACATTTAGATTTTTAAAGCCAAGTTGTGTTAAGTATTTAATTACTTCCAGAATCCTAATTTATTTAGGATTTGTGCATATACGAAATGTAGTAATAACTAAATCCTCCGACCATGCTCCCATCCCTCCCTTCTTTCTTTATCCCCCCTTCGTTTTGCATATGTTTGCACTCATGAATATAATAATGCCAGATGGTTTTATGTTGAAAATATACACTGGACACTAATATATTATTCCAGATTTGAAACGCATTCTGCACTCATGGCTTATTTATTTAATCTGTCTTTAATTTGACATACCATTGCTCTTGTATTGATCAGTCAGAGTGCAGGAACATGTGAGTTGCTACCTCTGCACATGCATTCATGCAGCACATTTCCCTCATCGCTGCATCGCCACTAACCTTTCTCAAAACTCACAGCTTAACACTTTTGTCCGGAGGAATCCAATTATTATTAGGACACTCATGCATGTGCAGCAGAAACACCACCAGACGGTTTCTATGAATATTTGAATTGAATCGTTTATATGTGAAACAGTGTCTGTTTACAGCACAATATGTTAACTACTCAATATACTCATTGTTGTGCATATAAACTAAACACATGTTAAACAGATAAAAACATGATATTATACGACAACAACTTCGACTTTGTCTAGGATGGTGATTTGTAACTATTTTATTTTTTATAAGAGCAAAGGATTAATCAATGTTTGGAGAAAAACGATTAATAATAATATTTGTTGTTTCTTTTTTGTCTTTAACTTTAACTTTTAACTTTATGTAGAAAACATGAGCTTGTATTTTGATAAAGGTGCCTCTGTTAACAAACTAAGTCAATAAATAAAAAGGATAACAAAAGAAGAAACACTCTTAGTCCCAACGAAATTAAGAACAAGAACAGATTCATATTTTTTATTTTATTATTGTGGAATGGAAACTTAAAACAAAAAAGTCAAATAGGACACAAGCAATAGAAAGTATTCTGACAGACATGATACGCAGCTAGGATTATAGCAGAGACTAATTTCAGCCTCAGGTGCTCTATGATCACCATAAACCATCCTCTCATCTCAGCAATGTGTAAATGTGTTAAAGGCAGTCCAAGCTCTTGTCCCACTCGCCCTCTGTCCTCCTCCTCCTCCTCCTCCTCCTCTGCGTCTGAGATGTAAAGCAGTTTGGTCTCTGAGTGGCTGAGAGTGTCCGTGTGGATGACTGAGCGACAGCTAAGAAAAAGGTGATGATGGAGGAAAGAAAAGTGCAGAAAAAAGGATAAGAAATGCTGCAATGAAATGACATGCTGTAAAGTGAAAAAGGAGCCATGGATAAACAGTCTGTATTTTCTAGGTAAAGCGTACAGTGGCCTCACTTCGAGCCTGTCCCCTCCCCCACATATGTTAAGATCTGCTGACTGGCTTCCAGATCCGCTCATCACTCTGCAATAGGCTTGTGCTTGAGCAGCTCCTGGTGTATGATTGGACGGCTGATAGATGCAGTGCGTGTGTGTGTGTGGGGGGGGGGGGTGCAGTGTGGATGCTGTGGTGGTTCGCAGCATTTGGCTCCCTCCTATTCAAACAGCACTGGATCTACCTCTGAGACACATCCTTGGATCTGTGTTTTTATACTGGCTCCATTAACTCAAGGACTGCATTTCTTTATCTGCTGCCACTCTGTTTGTGCAGAGTGATGGACCTGAGAGCAGATACTTGAGGACTGCTGGATTGTTATATGACAGTGATGCACCTGTGCTGTAGGTGCAGCATGTCTTTAACAGGGCAGTCTGCCGGTGTGATGCACATGCGGTTGTCATTGATTGTTGGTGCTGTGTAAAGCTCAGCCCTCCTCTCTCCGGGGAACAAAGGGGGGGTGCAGGGGGAGAACTGGGGGCTGATGGCCAAGAAATCTGGAGGTACTTCAGCGCATCTCCTTTTATAGACTGCACCAGCTGTCTAAGAAGATAAAGAGCAGCAGAACAAAACAAGAAGCTGTGAACGAGCACTTCAGTTGTCCACTGTCTCACTGTGCACACGGCAAAGGAAAACTACGTTGTTATCTCTCCTCTTCAAACTCTTGCATTTTCTCAGGACTAACTACTTTTCAGTCCTTTAAAGTCTCTGCTGCACAGACTGTCTCTGTGTGGATTTACTTATTCTTTGTTAGTGTGAGTTAAAAGTTGATTTCTCTCACCAGTCATCGTGCTGTTATATAAAGATCTGCTCACCATTAAGCTGTGTATAATTAGTCCACTGTTTGGTTTGTGTTGAACATGTTTTGCCTCTTTGTTTGTTTTAGTTTGTCTTCGACGGGAGTGGGTTTCATTCTGGTTATTGATCGCCGGCAAGACCGATGGGCAGCCGTGAAGGGGACCCTGCTTCGAATCGCAGTAAGTCTCTCTTTGTGTGTACATGTGGAGGAGCACCTACTTCCTGTCTGTCTGAAACACGATAGGTCAAATTTGAGGGTTTAAACTATTTTGCTTCCACGGCATGTCGTCCTTCAGAATAATGGAATGGAAACATCAAAATAATAATTTTAGGTTTTTCTGTTTATACTTTACTTTGTTCATGATTGGTTTTAAAGATCTCCAAATTCACCAAAAAGTTGGCATTAGACTTATTTAAAAATTAAAACATAACATTTCACAAAAGTTCAAATATGTATTATTTACGTCAATAAAGATAATATTTTGGGAAGTTTCAGGGTAGTATTTAACTACATGTCTTCAAACTAAATAGAAATGCTCCTTCTCTGAGCCAAATATCTCCTCTTGAGTAGCACAAACATTAATCAAACTTTTAATTTTTTATTCCTATCTATATTCTGAAGATTTATTTTAAGGACTTCTTAAGATAATGCCTCATTTGCACATTTAAACTACATTATTTTGCCATTCGAAGACATATTATCTTAAAATATGTAATCAGCCAGGTAAGTTTCATGGTGATTTCTAGTTCAAATCCTTAGCCTATTCACCTGTAGTGTCTTTGTGTCTGTGTTGGAAGAGAAACAGCCCTTTGTAATCTAAATGAGAGGAACCATTTCTTTAGAGTGCAGGTCCTTCACCCTCACCCACAGAGAGGGGGGGGGGGGGGGGGTCTGTCCGCCTAGAGGAAGGTGTTTGGAGCGTCTCCATCTCTCTCCCTCTCACAGCTCCAACACTAATATCACCCCCGCCCTGGGGGTTGATATGAGCCAACCTCATCCTTGAACTCCATCCCATCACCATCACAGCCTGCCATGTGTTTCCATAGTTACAGTGACAAATAAACAGTCACATGCCAAAAAAAAGGAAACAGAAGGAGAAAATGTTTCTGTTGTTCGTTCATTCACAAGAAAGCCAAAACTAAATTAAGATGGATTTAAGATTTAAAGGACTTATTGTTATATGCAAAATAGTTATTGTGTTATTGATGGCACTAAACATCCAACATGGCAACATACTATAAACTAATGACATCAATGTATATTAGTGCAATAGAGTATATACTGATGTTATGGATGCCTTATATTCAGCCTGGTTATAGACTTCCCTGCTGTGTTTCAGGAGATGTTCTATATGTTGTTCTCTTAATCAGTTGCGTGCTCCTGCAGGAAGAGAAGCTGTTGTATAAACTTTAAAAAAAATCACCTCTCTCATTGCTACTTAATGCTTCATCATCACACACCTTGTTTTGAGACACATAACTGATACTACTCATGTCATTTTATTGTGGCTGGATACAATGCAGCAGTGGAGCATCCCCCCCGCTCGTTTCTCATGTCCCAGTGTTCTCCTCTAGGAGCTGAAATGCTTATCTGTTCATCTGTGTTTCATGTTTTGTGTGTAGAGGTGATGAAGCACTGGCAGCGCTCCATAAAACGTGTGGGGGAGAATTACACTCATCGCAGTATATTGCTTTTTGGGACTCAGGCAGTCGACATGAGTTTTTAACAGCTTTACCACCTTCACTTATATCAACGTTAACCTTTATTTCCTGTCAGTGCAGTACATACATGTTCATTGTTGTTGATATACAGGAAACAGGGGAGCGTTTGTTTTGCACAGATCTATCATTAACACTGAAGGCAGCACAGCAATAAGTCAACACAGAGAGGGATATACGAGAAAATGAAATGTCTGAGAGAGAGAATGAGAGATGAATATCAGCTCCCATGTCTCCTGAGACCACATGGGAGACCACATCGCTCATTTCAAATTAAATCAAGCTTTATTAATCCCACAAGGGGGAGTTTTACTGGCTGACAAGCTGCTAATAGGCAGCGTTCACTGATCTCTGCAATAATGTCCTGTTGAGGTGATTCAACCGTGCTGCTAAATGGATGATGATGAAAACTGGCACTTCTTTATCTGTAGCAGCGTATATTTGTAGTCTGTTTATAGTCAAGCTTCAAAAAATTGACGACCAGAAAAACAATTGCCAGTCATTTTGTTCATGCTAAACAAATGTTATTTTATACCGAAAATGTCCTGCTTTTCGTGGTATAATTTCATACTAAACTGTATTTTTGGGTAATAAACTGACAGAACTATACATTTAAATCCATAACCTTGGAAAGGAGGAACTGAGACAGACTTTTACTTCTGTTTTCTGACTATTTATAGACCAAACATAAGAGTTAGTTGCAGCCCCATAGATTCAAGGCTTTATTGTCTAGCGGAGACTAGTTCATATTGTATTCAGCTCACACTCTGATGTGTTCACTCTGCCAGGTTATTCAGTCTGTGTTTACAGGATGTGCTTGCTCTGTGGGAGAGAGACAGGATAAGCGAGTATATTGAATGTTTACGCTGTCAATGGATTCCCCTTTGTCTTCCTGTGTGTCTGTATATGAGCACACTTGTGTATACATCTGCTAGTGTGAATGTGGGTCAGTGTGTTTCAAGGAAAAGCCGTCTGCTGCTGTGCATGGCTGAGTTTGATCTGATGACAGACAGGAAGTGTCTGCAGATCGAGACTAATTAAGTCTGCGGAGTTACTGTCAATCCTAAAGCAAACCACTCTCCCCTGTCGTGTGGTGTGTGTGTGTGTGTGTGTGTGTGTGTGTGTGTGTGTGTGTGTGTGTGTGTGTGTGTGTGTGTGTGTGTGTGTGTGTGTGTGTGTGTGTGTGTGTGTGTGTGTGGTGTGTGTGTGTGTGGTGTGTGTGTGTGTGTGTGTGTGTGTGTGTGGTGTGTGTGTGTGTGTGTGTGTGTGTGTGTGTGTGTGTGTGTGTGTGTGTGTGTGTGTGTGTGTGTGTGTGTGTGTGTGTGTGTGTGTGTGTGTGTGTGTGTGTGTGTGTGTGGTGTGTGTGTGTGGTGTGTGTGTGTGTGTGTGTGTGTGTGTGTGTGTGTGTGTGTGTGTGTGTGTGTGTGTGTGTGTGTGTGTGTGTGTGCCCATGGCAGTCTGAGAGTAGACGTGTAAAGAACAAAGGACAAGTAGACCATGACCGTCAGCAAACACACATCCAGGCAGCACGGTTGAATAGTTAGGAGCTGCAACATACATTCAAAGGTCAAGACTGGATAATTAATATAGTGTTTCTGTTGTTGAAAAACGCCATAACCAGATGAAAAGAAAACGTTTATTTTGTGCATCTCTCAATACCTTCGGCTTATTTTACCCAGTGTGTTGTCAAAAACATTCATACTTACCAAATAACTAAATATGTAACTATCTATAGTAGTTTTTTATACAAATAGGGTATTAAACCGGGACTTTCTTTCCACCACAAATACTCTGGTGGTTGCTGAGGATTCACAGAATGGTACTGGATGTTTGTGACATGGACTCAAAAATAAACTAGTGAACATGTCCAATGTGATTAAGGCTCAAATGACCCAGTTCAAAAATGTTGCGCGTGAATATGTTTTGTAATAGTTAATTGGACAGTCCTATATGCTACTGAGGAATAACATTTTGAATGGCTTTGGCTATGACTGCACAGTTTTACATTTGGATCTTTTAGTGGGATTTGTTGACTATAAATCAAATATAAACCCTTGCCAGGCTTATTAGGAAGGTAGCCAGTTTCCGAGCTGCACAACATATTTAACCCCATTAACCTTCAATATATTATAGCTCTTTGTTTTATGGTATAACCTGCTACCAGCATGTTGTAAAAACAGTCGTATCCGCACAATCATTTCCATTCCTCCAGATGGTTGAATGACTTTTTTTCCCAGTGCTCCTCCTGGTTTTGGCAGGTCAACCAGGACAAACACAGCATTGATTTATTAATTCCATTAGCAGTGCCTATCCCTTGTGGTTTTTATAAATGATGTATTCATTGTCATTCTTGCTTAGGCCAGCATTCCCCAACTCACTCGGGAAGGGCAGCCAATCAGGCGAAGCAGCCGTTTAGGTCATTAGCTAATTAAAGTAGCATTAACAATCGCATAGCCTCAGGCGGGGAGATCAGTGTCCAGACTCAACCATCATCCGACTGCTTCCACAGCAGTACTTATGTCGGCAGTCGGTGTCAATCATGACATTTTAATTGGCTTTTTATTGAGTCCTATGGCTGAGCAGAATGGGTGGTAGCTACATAATGTGATAAATATGAAAAAGATGTCCCGACAGCATCTAATAAACCTTTGTTCTGCTTAGGTAGGATATATTTGCTTTATGCTGAGTATATTTGTTAGCAAAGAGATCTCTACTTATTCCAAAGTCAAGGGCATATATTTGGAAAAACTACTCAACCACAAACAGTGAAATTAAAATAACTCAATACATTTTTTGTAGGCAGCTTAAGTCAGAAAACTTGGGTCAAGCAATTCAGATTTGGCTCCCTTTTTGTCAAATGCATAATTGGAAAATAATGTTCTCTATCTCAGTATTTTCACCCACAGCTTGAGAACTACCTTTGTGAAAGTGCTCCATGTTTTACTTGCAAGTCACTCTTAAATCAACAAAACATTGGGCCTTTTTCAGGGGGCTTAAAGAAACAGCCACTAAAAAGGACCACTTTAGACAAAGAGGAGAATGCATGTAACATTAAAGCATGTAAACATGTCCCAGCACAAACCCAAAATAGAAGTTCAAACTTAAAAATGTTTTTGCCGTATCTCAACAATAACAGAAAACCCTGAATACATGAGGCTGAACACATGTAGGAGATGGTGTCTTCCTCATTATTCATGCCGAAGCGTCTCAGGGACATGAAGATTAATGTCCCTGCCACAGGAGGGTGTCTGACATCCCCCACGTCTTTCCCCTTCTCTTGTTCTCAACACACTCCACACACGTGCTTTAATGTGTGCGAGTGAGGGTTTTCACAAGGGATACAAAGGCAGGGAGTAATATAAAGGAAGTGCAGGCTGTCAGCAGAAAGAACAGAGACTCTCCTGGTGAAAAGTGATGTATAATGGACTCAGGGTTCAGGATGCTCTCTGCTGTGTAAATGAAAGTCTTTGTCCTCTCTCTCGTCGCAGGGCTCCTTCCCAGGGAACCTCCAGCTGGTTCTGGTTCTGAGGCCCACCGCCCTCCTGCAGCGAACACTCTCAGACATCCTCTTCAAGTTCAACAAGGATGAGTTCAAGATGAAGGTGCCGGTGCGTACACTCACTCTCACCTCCAGAAAACTGCATCAGTGACTTGTTCTTTCCCTCTGTAATATAGAAATGAGACTCGAAAGAAGTGAATAGTGTACATTGCCGGTTATATGATTATTATAAAGTGGAGCTTAACCAAGTCCTTTTTTAATTCACATTAAAAACTCATTAGGATTGACCAATTGATATATGTAATAATCTTCTGGTTCAGGTGATCATGCTGAGCTCCATCACTGATCTGCACACCTACATCGACCGCTCTCAGCTGACCCTGGAGCTCGGAGGAACGCAGCACTACTGCCATGAGAAGTGGATATCTCACCGCACTGTATGTACACTGGTCAACATTACTGTGTAGCACAATACAATAAGAGGGATAAATGATAAAAACATGGTAAAGTTAATAACAACATTGTTTAATTTGAGATGCTCTAGCTACATTAGAATGGCTGTGTTTTTTGCATTTATGTCAACAGTCTTTATTATTATATAGACAAAGGTTACATCCTCAAAACATGGTTATTTTATTATGTAACCCTCTATTTAAAATGTGAAAATAAATCAAGAAGAAGTGCAACGGCATTCAAACTAAAAGCATTATTTATCAGCCTCATCTGAATCTAAAAACTGAACTCACTGTACAAATGACATTTTCTTGATTTCCATAAAGAGAGTTGCATGCTGATAATGCTGTATGTGTCTTGCTTGCATCAGGCTATAGAAGGCTTTGCGTTGATGGTAAAGAGAACAGCTCAGATCCTGCAGTCGTTTGGGACCGAGCTGGCTGAAACTGAACTCCCCAATGAAATCCAGGCCACAACCGTCCTGCTGAGCACACATACCAACAAGAAAGACAAAATGAAGGTAACACTGTTAATACACACATACATTATTCACAATATATTCAACATGTATGAGAGTTATGTATTTGGATAACATCTCCGAATCTGTCTGTGTGTGTCTGCAGGGGGATCTGCTGGTGGCTCTGGGTCAGGGTCGCAGGCTGCTGGAGAGCATCAATGAGCCGGTGGTGCGAGACCCCGACCACAACATGAACCAGGACGAACTGGAGAACCTGGCTACAGTGCAACGGTGAGAACCACAAGATATACATGTCGCTGCAGGATGACTACTAAAAAACGATGCTACGTTGCAAAAACCACCTTATGTTGCAATATATTTCTCTAAGCTGTCTCCTGGCCTCAGTGTTTAACAGTGTCTTTCGTCGTATTTACTGTTCTAGTAAAGCACAAATGTTCCTAAATTGCCTTCGCACTGAATCATCCATGCAACAAAGAGTAAACCCAGAAGACTTTTTTGTTGGTTTGTTGTTTTGAAAGCATGTGATTTGCTTACTGCTGTCTCAGCTCTGCCATCCTTAGATCTATACAAGTAGTTGGCAAGGCAGTTTGCTTTGAGGTCAGTCAGTTCAGTATTTTAAGCAGCACTGAAGGCAACGACTGACATGTAAACGTGCTTAAGCTTTACATAACATTCCTAAAAATTGAAAATATATCCAAATACCTCACTCACTATTCCCATTGCATTTATCCTCTATTAATTACTCTCTTTACAATTTTTGTTACATTTAACTTCATTTTTTTATTAACACTCAATCTTTTGCTGTCTCCCTCTCTTTCAGACTGTTGTCCCAGCTGGACGAGACAGAAAGGGCTTTCGATGAGTTCTGGGTGAGGCATCAGACCAAACTGGAGCAGTGTCTCCAACTGCGCCACTTTGAGCTCAACTACAGAGAGGTGAGCCGGTTAACTCAGGTTAAATCGTCCGTGAAAGACTTGAACAGAGTCCACGTGATCCTGTTTACACCTGAACACTGACTGTGGTTCTGCTGTTGCTTCAGGTCAGGGCTCTGCTGGATCAGGTGTCTGAGAAACTCTCAACCTTCTCTGAGGTGGGGATCAGCCCGGCCCACGCTGAACACATCTTCTGTGAACTCACCACGTATGAGGAGAGAGTCTGTGTAAGTGACACCCCTCACAATCAAAGCTTTGTCTGACCATGCCATGAATAGATGAGTGATATATTCTATAAGGTGGGTTTGTTGTTGTTGAGCCAGTCAGTGTCACAAAATAGTTTGTTAATCTCGTACTCGTAGATCGTAAAATCCTTACAAAAATTAAAGTATGCAGGTGCGTTATGGAAAAAGGTCTTACTGAGCGTCATTTCACGAATACAAAGGAAGCATTTAAGTTAAATTCAAAGTCAACTTTATTGTCAAATCTGCAATATGTACAGAATATTTAGAGGGTTGAAAAGCTGTTTCCACAGTGTTAACTAAGAGGGTTTTAAAATACAGGATAGAAACACATCTATCAAATATAAGATGCGATTATGTACTCCTATATGGTATCTTCCAAATCTGTTAAATCCTCTACATTTGCTTAGAAGAGATTTTAAAATGTTTTCAATCTAATATGGACCCAGATCCACTTCAAAATGCACATTTCAGTCACTTTCATTGGCTGAATATGGCCATGATTTTGTAGTGGTAATTAAATACTGCCCAAGAATATTATGGCGTTGTACAAAAAGAGATTTTACAAAATGTCTCATAACCAATCCTGATTTGCTATCAAATCATTTTTGCTCTACACTGCCATCTAGGGGAAAAGGGCCGTCATTTTTGTTTCAATTTGACTTGATGCATGTTTGCTTTGCATTTTGGTTGACATTAAAAATCGATTCAATATTTGTGGCAGTATATGTTATATGATATAGCTATAAAAAAAAGCATCACAACCAGTGCTGAACAACTGTATGAAATATGTCTAAAAATAGACTCATCCAGATATGAAGGATTTAGGGGAAATGAATAATAATTGTATGTTTATGACTCCACTCTGGTCCACAGGACGGGTTGAACAGAGCCTCGTCGTTGGCCCGTGAGGGAGATGAGCTGATCCAGAACTCACACTACGCCGAGGACTCCATTCAGCCCAAATGCAGCGAGCTCAGAGCGATCAGTGAGAATGTGAGCAGCAGCCTGAGGGACAGGAAGGAGCACCTCGTCAAAGCCATGGAGCTGCACCGCAGTTTGGAGAGAGTAAGAAAAACACACATGGTTTAGTTTCTTTGTCTTGTTTGTTGTTGTTGTTGCTTTGACTGACTCTTTTTCTTCTGCTGTCCCCCTCAGGCGTCTAAATGGGTCGATAATGGTATTTACATGCTGGCGTCTCAGCCTGTGGACAAGTGTCAATCACACGAGGGGGCAGAGTTAGCCCTGAAGGAGCTGGAGCGTTACCTTGACGATGCAGGCCAGAACCAACTGACGGAACTCGGTAACATCTGGACCGAGTTCGAGGCGGTGCTGAACCCGCAGTTTAAAGTAAGACGACCGAAAAAAACATCTTTAATCAACATCCCTCTGTCACTGTCAAATGGATTGTGAATATTTGGGTCAACTATTGAAAATAGATTAAAAATGTCCATATTAGTATTGTTGTTATTGTTCTAGTTGTAATTATAAACCTTTGTCTCACATCAGTGTGGTATGATTTTTGCCAGAGTTTATCAAAATGTGTAAGTCTATTTATCATTCAAAAAGCTGTTTTATTATTTACTACACGGACAAGGATGATCTTTTTTAAAAGTAATTTTCCCTTTTTGTTTTCAAATATCTGATTAGATTACAATGGTATTATTTGTCCTGGAAAACATGTAACCAAGATGATTTATTGAATACAATAAAACGATCTTGAATCCAAGCCTATTGCATACAGTGTCACTGATATCAATTGTTGTATAGTATGTCTCAAAAATAATAACAAACAGTAGACCCAAAACATTAATGTTCATTTAAAAAATGTTCTATTTGAACAAAAACTTAAATGTGTAGCACATGTCCTTATTGACTATCCTCTCATAACTTTCTGTGCATCAGGACCAAGTGGAGAAGATTTTCCAGAAGCAGACGTCCATGCAGGAGATGTTTGACAAGAGGAGGGTCAGCCTGAAGAAGCTCGCAGCCAAACAGACCCGGCCGGTGCAGCCGGTGGCCCCCAGACCCGAAGCCTTCATCAAATCCCCTCTCAGCTCCCCCGGTCAGTCTCCAACATGCTTACAGTCATCAAGATATGTCATGGCTTAATTAAGGGTTATACTAGTCATATTTAGATATTTTAATATTCATTTATAAAGTTTTTAAATACTAACTGTAATATAATACATTTTATTTACACGTTTTTAATATGTTGTTTATGTTAACAATTTTGACAAAACCTAAAGGTGTGATTTCAACATTATTTAGGTGAAGACAGTCATAGACAGGACATAAGCAGTAAATAACCGAAAACAACTCGTTCTCTGGTACAAATGCTTATTTTCTCATATTGTACTTTCAGGTAATATCCCATAACACAAAAAAATAATGCAATCATTTCTTTATTTGACTATACCTTTGACTTGTTCTAAATCTAGTGTGAATACAATTAAAATACTTGAGATTTAACCAAAATGTCTACAATATGTGTCAATTAAAAATGTAAAAAAGCCTATATATACTACCAATCATGTTATGCCTTAAAGGGGACCTATCATGCAAAATGCACTTTTGTACGTCTTGTATACATGAATATGTGTCCCCGGTGTGTCAGGGAACTCACCAAGTGTCAGAAAACACAACCTTCTCTCTTTTCCTCCATACCCAAATCTCTAAAAACGGGGCTGCAACGGATCTGATACAAACTGATACAGATTTGAATTGTTCTGAAGTCAGAAAAGGGTTGCTCCGCCTATATGGGCAACTCTCCACCTATCAGGAGGAGACAGCCACGGCCATTGCCGCTCGAAAGCGCTGGAGACGCTGTAGTACATATGCCAGGCCTGTAAGTGGCGCTGTAGTTTGCCACAAAAGCAGCGAAGAAGACTTCTCACAGATTCAGCCCTTGCAAAAACAGGGCTGGAAAAGAGCAAATAGAGCGAAATGAGGCATGGCTAAAATGCATGATCTGTTTGGTATTTTGAAAAAGAAACTTCACAGACATGCTTTATATAGGTATGGCCCTACAATATAGTTTTCAAATATAGCATGATAGGTCTACTTTAAATATTATGTTGAATGACCAACCAACTTGTTGTAATAATATACTGTACTTCCTCTGTACAGGGCTCAACATAATTTGTTTCTAAACATAAACTTTCCTGTTTCCCTTCCTCAGCACACAGAGCTCAGCAGGAGAACAAGTGTTCAGAGACAGACTCTGAGAACATCTGTGAGAAAGTGAGTGTGGTATTGTCCTATCTACGTCTACGTCTATCTACGTCCATCTATGTATGTCTCTAAACATTGTATTGTCTGTCTCTTGTCACGGTAACCCGATGTTTTTTCCCCCCAGGAAAACGACCAACTGCAGAACGGAGACGGTAACACCAGACATGCCTCTCTGTCGGAGGAGGAGGAGAACCTGGCGGTGCTCAGGAGGTGAGGGGAGCCGCGCTTTCATCTGTAATCGAATTACACAGCAGATGGACTGTGTGGCGGTTATCTCATTATCTACAGACCCCTGCAGCCATTTTTTATGAGTCAAATTCTTCGTTTGATCCCTTTCTCTTTCCTTTCTACCTATTCTACTCCTCATGTCTGCAGGCACGTTATGAACGAGCTGCTGGAAACTGAGAGAGCCTACGTGGAGGAGCTGCTCTGTGTCTTACAGGTGTTTATTTATATATAAGTTTATTGTTTATGTTGTTATTGTATTCATGTTTCTGTGGACTTAATTTGAACTTGTGTTCTTTCTTGTAGAGCATTTTTTGAATTTCTGTGAAAGGTTAAAGGTGCTATACGAAATAAACGTATTATTATTCTCTCCAAAATGTTTCTTCTTCTCAGTTTTTTGCTCGGGTTAAGACTTTGTGTTGTGTGTTTCAGGGATATGCCTCAGAGATGGATAATGCAGCCATGGCTCCCCTCATCCCCGCTCCTTTGCAGAACAAGAAGGATGTTCTGTTTGGCAACATGCCAGAAATCTACCACTTCCACAAGAGGTGAAGGAGCGCCATCTGCCTGTCATTAATGATTCAAGGATGTACAAAGCCACAGTGTAGTTATGACAATGACATTCGTAGGTCACAGGCTCCTCCAACAGTGCAACACAATAAAACAGATAATAGTGCAATAAAATAAAATAGAATATAATAGAAATTGTGCAGAATAGTCTATATACAAGTAATTGGAATATTGATATACATATATATATATATATATATATATATATATATATATATATATAAGTTACAACCAGATGAATGTTATGGATGTTCTTTCAAATACTTACATGTCCCAGCCATCAAGCTCAGTCTATAAAATTGCCAACTCTTTCTTCCCTTTTCATCAACACAATGATTTTTGTTGTTTCCAGGACGTTTCTGAGGGAGTTGGAGCAGTACACCGACTGCCCAGAGTTGGTTGGAAGATGTTTTCTAGAAAGGGTAAGTGAATGATGACATTTCAGCATATAAATGTAAATCCAACTGTGCTGATGAGGTTTCCTGAATGCAAATGTTCTCACCGCCTTCCTCTAGATGACAGACCTGCAGATCTATGAGAAGTACTGCCACAATAAGCCTCGCTCTGAGAGCCTGTGGAGGCAGTGCTCAGACTGTGCCTTCTTCCAGGTGAGCAGTCACCTCTGTCGGGATTTTAAAGTAAATATTTGCTTGTTTGTTTTATTTAATACAATGCTTTTCTTTTATTCCCTCAGGAGTGTCAGAAGAAGCTGGAGCATAAACTCGGCTTAGATTCCTACCTGCTGAAGCCTGTTCAGAGGATTACCAAATATCAGCTGCTCCTGAAGGTAAGATCTATCTACAATACGATAATACTTTAATGGCATAGGCGGATTTTGCAGGGGGCAGGGGGGGTTCCAATACAAATATTTCGTATATCAATATTTTAATAAGGTAGGACACTGGTTAATATTATTGTAGCGTGTTCAAGTAACCAAGGGATATAGTAGTTATCAAATAAGTATAAGATGTGCAGTTATGATTTACAGTTATGAAATGCACTGTTGTTGGGGGGAGAGACCGCCCCTTCCATATGAGTGTGTGTGTACGGCGGGCATGAGGCGTGCATGACGGGACGAGTTGTGTTCGTATGTGGAAAAGTCGTATACTCAGTGCGGTGAACGCTGGCTTTATTGCTACTGTATCCGTAGCACCCCACGCAATAGTTGGGACTGTGTACTGACGTCAGTAAAAAGGTTTTGCCCCCCCAAGCGCAAATGTCAAACTCCGCCTATGTTTAATGGTCAGATCAAGTCTGACATTTGACTTGCATCACAGCAGCTCCATGTGTAACATCAACATAGACAAATGTCAAGACACAATACTTGAAAAACAAACAACAAACCTTTAACATAACGGCACAATCACTGAGAGAAAACATGCTCAAAGACCCTTTAGCGTGCCTTTGATCTGGGATTTAGCTCTGTGTTTACTGTGAGGATTGACTGATGCACAAAGTAGTCTGACTTTATTGAATCGCGGGACCCTGTATCTCCGATTAGATGGTAGCAGTTAATATTCGCTGATGTCTTTACAGTCGTATTTTCTGCTCTTCAGTTATTGAAACATGTTTAATGTGTACTGTTTCTGACTACAGGAAATGCTGAAGTACAGTAAGAGCTGTGAGGGGGCTGATGACCTGCAGGCAGCGCTCACCTCCATCCTCGGCATCCTGAAGGCCGTCAATGACTCCATGCACCTCATCGCCATCACAGGATATGAGGTGAGACATTAAACACGCAGAACAAAGCTTTGAATAGATCTCTGGAACAAACTGGAAGACAGAGACATGCTGAGTGTAACGTTTGAATATGAAGTAGTGAAAAGCCACACTGATCTGTGGTGAAGTGTGATGTTCTGGGACTGTACCAGTGTTGTAGTCAAGTCACCAATTCACGAGTCCAAGTCACTCTCGAGTCCCCACTCTTCGAGTCCGAGTCCAAGTCCGAGTCACCTAGGGAGAGTCGTAGTCGAGTCCAAGTCCGAGTCACCCAAGGAGTGTCCGAGTCGAATCCGAGTCACCATTACCTGTGTTCGAGTCCGAGTCTGAGTCGCGTCAATCAGTGCGCAAGTCCGAGTCAAGTCACGAGTCCCGAAAATCGGCACTCGAGTCCAACTCGAGTCCGAGTCCAGGACTCGAGTACTCCATCTCTGGACTGTACCAAGCACATTGGATTTCTTGCATGGTTGGATGTGTGATTTAGTAGAACCCATATAAGAAGGGGGGGATACAAAAAGTGAGAAATGAAAAATATTACATAAAGAAAAGGAGAAGGCGAAAACACAAATTATGAAATACAATAAAAAGAAACAAATAGATTGACAATGTGTGTTTTCAGATTAGTGATCCTCCAGATGGACACCGGCCTATAACACAAAGCTAGACAGAAAACCAATTTTTACAGTAAAAAGGGAAGGAGAAACATTCATTTAAAAAACAAAAAAACAACAACAATTGTTTAATGCAACTGAAATGCATAAAAAATACAAAATTAACTGTTCAAGTTTAGTACAAATAATATATCAACATGCTAAGTCAACAATACACAATTAATTTATAAAAAACAATACACAGTGCCCTTGGTGTTTAGTGGTAAAGTGCCAGTAAACACCCATAAAGTGCCTCACTGCAGGTTGCACTGGTTCACATCACAGAACAGAGACTGGACAGAAAACAGATGCATTAAATGGAACAGAGATTGAGTTGTTTTAAAAATCTAATGATGGCCTCTTTACAGTATTTCAGTACAAAACAGTAGGCGGTCATTGGCTCTGTCTTACAGCACCTTTCTTTTCTCAGGGGAACAAGAGTGAGCTGGGGAAGCTGCTGATGCAGGGATCATTCAGTGTGTGGACGGAGCACAAGAAAGGTCACGCCAAGGTCAAGGATCTGGCCCGTTTCAAGCCCATGCAGAGGCACCTCTTCCTCCACCAGAAGACGCTGCTCTTCTGCAAGAGGAGGGAGGAGAACGGGGAGGGCTACGAGAAGGCCCCCTCATACAGCTTCAAACAGTCCCTCAATGTGAGCACCTGTTCGGCTGCATTGGGTGTTGCTGTGTTTGTCTCCTATACTGCCATTTACATTATATTTATATATTAATAACAAACATTTGTATTGATTGGTTGATATCTTTGATTACAGATGAGTGTGGTCGGCATTACTGAGAATGCAAAGGGAGACAACAAGAAGTTTGAAATCTGGTGCAACTCCAGAGAAGAGGTGTATATTGTTCAGGTACAGCGATGTATAAAGGTTAACCGTGTTGATATGCTATGTTTTATTCTAATTGTAAACAAAACCCATGAAGTAGTAGAAGTGGAGCCCAAGCCTGATAAAGCCTCTCTGCTATAGAGCTTATTCAATCCCTCATCTACATCCTGGTGCTGCAAATTCTCACTTGCTCTTAATAATGTGATGCTAATATTGAAGCCAAACGTACTGTTGTTTTAAAAATGATTTCTAAAACAACAGAACGTTTTCAGTGCCTCGCAAACAATATTGGATGATAGTCCAAGTGTAGTTAGAGTGTTTTGGACTGAGATAAATCATGGGTCAAAATTGACCCGCGAACACCATGAACGGTATCAGCTTTTGAACACAACACAAGGGTTAATGTACAATGTTCTGTCTTTGACCAATACGCATGCAAATGGATATCTTCCTCCAGAATGCACCAAGCTTTTCTATATAGGTTTTATTTAAATAATTTACCGTCCTGTTTCAGGCTCCGACGGCAGAAGTAAAAACCACCTGGGTGAATGAGATCAGGAAGGTGCTGACCACCCAGCTGGAAGCATGCAGAGGTACACAATCGGTTTTATTACCAAGTAGGTTTACACATACGAGAGAGAGGATGTTATCATTATCAACTCTTTTCTAAATGAAATGTTCACACTGATATCCCTGTTCAACCAGAAGCTGACACGCTTGATTTCTTGCAGTAATGACTATGAAAGAAAACGGTGCATAATGGATGTTTATTCAGTCGTTGTCCTCTCTATTTGTGTATCAAAGCGAGCCAGCAGAGGGCGCCAGATCAGGTTGTACAGTCTCCTGCTCTCAGTGGATCAGTGAATCTCAGGTAAGTCGGTTTTTCCCAACATCTTATTATAAAGGACTTTTTTAAATGAATCTTCAGCTGATCAGGAACGACCCGGCTTCTTATTCTCCACTTGGTCCTTGGTCTTGGAATGACCTTCAATCACGCCTCAAACTGACGTTACTTGTCTCAATAGCCTGTTTTTAAATTGAAGTTGCCTGAAGTCCTTACCACCAGCTGTTCTTGCAGTAATTAGTAGTACCTTTCTTACTGTCCTAGTGTACAAAATGTAGTGACTGCTTTTTCGTCTTTTGTTTTCTTGGTTATGTTCTCTGTATTTTATATGTCCGTGTTATGTGTAACGTTGCTGCCTTCTTGGCCAGGTCAGCATTGTAAATGAAATGTTATCTCAATGCTTTTTATCTGGTTAAATAAAGGTTCAAAAAAATTAATACAAAAAATATATATATTCTTTCCCGACACAGTCCATTCAAATCCGGTCAGAAGAGCTTAAAGAGAGGAGAGGAGAAGAAAGCTGAGCCCTGCAGCCTGGAGGCAAACTCTTCCTCCTCACCAAAGCCTACAGGAAAAGGTGAATAGAAAGACAGCCAACTAAACAGAGAAAACTCTTATTCATCTGTATTTCTTAACACATGTACTAGCATGTGTAGAGCTTGTCTTGTCCAAACTGCTACATGTAATGTGTGGCTCTTTGTGACTAACCCATGTCTTTGCTGTTTCCTGTCTTTTCTACTGAATCATATAATCACATCACCTTTACATCTGTATTCTCTTTTCTTCCTCCGTACTCGCTAAACTGACCCTCTTGCTTGCTTCTGTTTGTCTGTCCTGTCTTACTCTCTGGATCAGAAGAGGCTGTGACAAGCCCGACCTCAGACAGAGCTGCTGTGGCTAAAAAGCGCTTTACTTTACAGGGCTTCAGTAACCTCAAAGCTCAGAAAGGTAACTGCAGGCCAATTCAGACAAACGCATATCCAACATACCACCTCATCTTATGTATCTGTGCAATAAGAACATGTATGTCCAGTTAGTCAAAGGCAAAGAGTTCTGTTTGGCAGATATTGGCTTTCTTTAGATGTCTGTAAAGTAACAACAAGTTACTGAAAGTCAGTAAATCAGAGAGACATCCCTGATCCCTGCCAAGAATTAGACAGAAATAGTATAATACCTCCCTATAAAAAATAAATACGTTTATGTTTGAACACTTAGCTGGAGAGCTATAGCCGTTATGGTATGTTTTGAAGAAACAGACTAGATGTTTCCTTTGTTTCCAATACAATATGCCAGTGATACTCAGATGATGCCGCAGGGTTGCCTCCACTCCTTTTATTTACTTTACAATAAGAATACGTTTATTCACAATTAGAGTTGTTTTATGTGTTTTAAATGTTAGAAAGTTGCAAGAGTGAATACAACAAATCATCAAATGCAGAGGGTCCAGCTATGTTTAGTGTTGTATGAACTCTTTTTTTTTAAATAACAATGTATTATACTGCAAAGACGATTGGTCAGAAGGTCAAAAACTGCATGCTTCCCTCCTCAGAGCCTTCTGATGATAAAAGCTTTACGTTACCATCCATGATGATCTTCCTGTCTTCAGGTATCACTCAGCTCTAGTAACCCCCAGTTTGATTCAGTCCAGCTAAATGTCTTTTCACAGCCCTGGCTTTTCCTAGTAGCACAGGTGTTACTTATAGCATTAAACCGTGACAGTGCATTCTGAGCAATACCAGGACCATGAAACTGACGCTACTAAATGGAGTTTAGTCACCATTTATTTTATTAGTGACACATGTTGCTGGACTCTGTGTTTTGCTTTGCGATTCCCATCTTAGAAATAGTTTTCGGCCTTTTGTGTTAGCTCTCCTACTTCTCTAATCCAGCTGTTACATTATGATCAGAGCCGAAATATTGCTGTTAACTAAATCATGTCTGTGCCTTTCTCATCAAGATGTGCCTTCCTAATGTCTATACCTTAGTTGTGATGTATTTCTTGACTCAACCCACATCTTAAAATCTGTCTTTCTTTCTTTACAGCAGGTTGTCCTACGAGCCCCGATCACAAGACGAAACGGCAGAGCGACCCGACGCCATTCGGCTTCAAAGGTAGTTAGTTTGTTCATCAACACCTGCACACTCCTCCTGTCTGCTTCCTGTCTCAGAGTCTCTAACATCTCATTGGCTGTAGCTGCTGCTGGTGAATGACTAGCTTTGTTTCTGTCGCCTCCTGTCCCTCAGATGCAGGTCCTCCCCCGCTCCACCTGAACAGGGTCAGGTGGAGCAGCTCCTCTAGTCTCTTACAGACAAAGTTGAGAGGTACACAGTGTTGGGCCCACTGTCTCACCACTATAACCCCTTATACACACCCTCTCTCAGTTTAATGCTTTGCTGTAACTGTAACACGTCACCACGCTCCTCAGGCTTCATGTCATAGAATTACACACTAATATAGAGAAATTCTGCCTAACACTTTTCCTTAGTTTGTGTCACAGAGTTTAATATTTGAAGATGCATGCCTGTCCTCCAAATCTTGACGTTTTTTAGAAATAAAATGCTGCATGAATTAGTTCTTAAACCTGAGAATGAGTAAGGAATTTTACACTTCTGGTTCACCCCCTTGATGGGTCATTTGAATGGGTTTTTTGGTGAGATGCCGGAAATAAGGTCTGTGGCGAACACAAGCATATGAGATTATTATATAATACTTCAACCTGTACCCCAGTCTTCTCGGTTTCATATGTCTTTTAAAAAAGTGGTTGCCAAGACTACCGAATGTCATTATGCTGAACACTTAGTAGTGGGGACATTGAAATCATGCAACGACGTTGTAGTTTGTTTTTATTGCCTTATTTGACTGTTAGGATATGCAATTACGCTTATAAAATCATCAAAGTAGGGTTCCTTTATGAAAATGATATTGCTGAACTAAACATGTGATTTATAAACTTTTGTTTTACCACAGAGTTTATTTTCCGCAACAAAAAAAATGAAAAATACCATTGGCACCATACAGGGTTTCAGGGTGCTGCTGACTTCCCAGTCGGCCTGAAAAAAATAAGTCACGCCTTTTTCTTTTTGTAGCTGTGGTACTGAGAGCTTCCTCCTGGGATTACCTGCATGTTCTTACTCTTCTCAATAGAGCTTTAAAGTTCCTCCTCTCACTTCTTCACACTTCGTAGACTCCTCACTCCACTTCACGCACGTTTTAGACGGCAGCAGAAGATGAGTGTTGCTGTGAACTAAACACTTGTCTTCATCCTCTCTTCAGGCTGGAACAAAACCTCCCTGTCGCTGGACGCCTCAGAGGAGCGTGACGGATATTCCAGCGCTGAGGAGCCTCTGAACTCTGACCATGAGGACGACACCGCCAATAAGCTGGTCAGTGTCTCTGTGTCACAGTCGTGTCACATTGTGGGGACCGTTTACACATTTAAATGATGGGGACTTGCCTCCAATTGTCCCAAAATAGGAAGCTGACCCCCTCAAAGTAAACAAATTAATGTTTTGCTTTTTTGTTGGGTTTTAGGAAGAAAAAACAACAACACAACAGTAATAAAGTAATCACCTTATCAAACATGTCAGGAACATAAGTCACATACTGTATTGACTCTCCGAGCAGACACAGAGCAACATTAGCTATCATTAGGAGTCAGATGAGTGTTTCATTTGACATTTGATTTGCCTCCGCCACTACAAATGGAAATATCTGGCTCTAAATGCTAACATGTGTTTCATTTGGTGCGAGGCACTTAGCATATAGTGGGTTTATCAGAGCTCATTCACTCGAAATAAGTTATATAAGAGAAACTGAACCAATAGTGACCATAGCAATGACCCCCGTAAGAGAGATGCACCCTATTTTTTTTGTAGTTGACCTGACCTAATTCGGATTGAAGCGAGTAGTATTAAGACAACCGTATGTGTCAAAATTAGATGAAGTACCTGATAAGAGAGTGATTTATGACCCTCATAAACCTTAGTCCCGCCTCCAAATCCCTTTAAAGTGGCACCTGTCACTCTGACATCTGACCTTTGACATCTGACCTATGACCCTCTTATCTTTTATGACTTGTTTGTTTATAGCCCCTGATAAGGATATTGCACAATAGAGGAGTGATAAGACTTTATCACCCTTTTGATGTGAAACCTGTTAGTGTCTTAGTAGGTCATTATTTAAAGTGGACCTATCATGCTATATTTGAATAATATATTGTAGGGCCATACCTATATAAAGCATGTCTGTGAAGTTTTTTTTTCAAAATACCAAACAGATCATGCATTTTAGCCATGCCTCATTTCGCTCTATTTGCTCTTTTCCAGCCCTGTTTTTGCAAGGGCTGATTCTGTGAGAAGTCTTCTTCGCTGCTTTTGTGGCAGACTACAGCGCCACTTACAGGCCTGGCATATGTACTACAGCATCTCCAGCGCTTTCGAGCGGCAATGGCCGTGGCCCAACCCCCCATTCCCCTGATAGGTGGAGAGTTGCCCAGGGTGGAGCACCCCTTTTCTGACGTCAGAAACATTGAAATCTGTATCAGCTCCGTTGCAGCCCCATTTTTAGAGATTTGGGTATGGAGGAAAAGAGAGAGGGTTGTGTTTTCTGACACTTGGTGAGTTCCCTGACACACCGGGGACACATATTCATGTATAAAAGACGTACAAAAGTGCATTTTGCATGATAGGTCCCCTTTCAGTTAAAAGCTTGAAAGCAATAGCTTTAAATGAGGTTGAGTTAATAATAGAGGCTAACTCTTATGGAGATTGGTGATTTAAGTTAAATTTGGCTCTAATAATAGTATGGTATATCAGAATATCATAACTTTTTTTTTTTAAAGGTCACACAAACTAGCCTTTTAGAGTCACAGTATTGTGTGTGTGTGTGTGTGTGTGTGTGTGTGTGTGTGTGTGTGTGTGTGTGTGTGTGTGTGTGTGTGTGTGTGTGTGTGTGTGTGTGTGTGTGTGTGTGTGTGTGTGTGTGTGTGTGTGTGTGTGTGTGTGTGTGTGTGTGTGTGTAACCAACAGTGTGTGTGTAACCAACAGTGTGGGGACACCTGCCAAATACAGTCACAGGGACTGACCATAAAACAGGAAAGGGATATAAAAGAAGGGGGGAGGGTCTGGAGGGGGGAGGTGTTTTGACTCTGGTCCCTAGGGTGGGGGAAAGGAAGAGGTAGATGATTAATTTGATAGATCTTACTTGATTGTTGTGTTGGTTGAAGGAAGAGACACGGGCGAGGAAGAAGCAGAAAAATAACTTGTTTGTAAAAAGGACAGCACGTCTTTTTTCTCAAATGTATGTCAGTTTCAAGAAAGATGAGAGGTTTTATGCATGACGTGCAAAATATCCTGGAACCCTTCAAAAAAGAAAAGAAGGTACAGGTAAAGTATGTTGAAATATGTCACAAAAAATGAGTTGTATGTTGTAATAGTTGTAGTTTTTCAAAATATAGTGAACGAAGTCATAGAGAGAAAAAATAGATGTGGAAAATATGAAAACAGCACGTTGAAAAAAGTAATGTTATGTTAGAATAACATGAAATATTTCACAGTAAAACATCTAAAAAAAAAAACATTTGAAAAAGTCAGGTTATTAAAGTTAGCAAAACTATTATTTCACCGAAACTTTCCATTTAGAGTTTGATTCTTTAAGCAGTTTTGCATCCATTAAAGTGTAACTATAAGTATCTTTGTAGGAGAAAAAAAGCATAAATCTGTTCATAGTCTTAGTATAGTATTTCATATATATAATTTAAAAAGAGTCACAGTGTAGAATGTCCGTACATTTATTTAAAAAGTACTAGTATAGTATGTCAAAACTATCTTGAAAAAAAGTCCAAGTATAGTATGTAGTTAAGAATTATATTATGTAGTTTGTCTGCAATGTCAGTATAGGATTTCAAAACAAATTAAAGAAAGTATAGTTTGTCTAAAAGATCTTGAAAAAAGTCATGACATTGTGTGTTGAAATGGTTTTTAATAAACACATCACGTCAATTTGTATCAAGTGCATCAGACAACTCCAATTACTCCATTTGAACCATATTATAAATAAGAAAAGAATGGTCATAGTATATAGCAGGGCTATTTAATAGTGCAGTTATAAATCACAAACTTGCCTTTTGGAGTCAGTCTTTAAGAAAATACATTTGTTATTAGTAATTGACAATCTACCAGTTGTAAAATGTTATAAAAGTGTATCAAAAAAAGTATCTTGGTAGCAGAAAGAATAACTAAAATATGTAAGGTTATCAGAAAAAAACCTACATTGTTTAACTGAACAAGTGTTGAAATAAAAAAACAGCCATTAAAAGAAACCCAATTCCTTACAAAGTACTTCATATTCTACCAGTTGTTAAGTGTTGCATACATCAAAGTGTATCTAAAAGTATTTTAGTAACACAAGAAACTAGAAAAAAGCATTGATGTTAACAAAACTGGATTGTTCCACTGAAATAGCGTTACAATCAAAGTGCCTTTTTAAAGAAAATCTATTCAGACAAAGTATTTTATCTTCTAGTTTTTAAGGTTTTGCATACATAAAAGTGTATCTTACAGTTCCTCTGTGAGAGAATTGCACACAAATCTGCAGTGTCAGTAAAAAAAAGTGTTAAAAATCACAAACTTGCCTTTTAGAGAAACAGTCTTTAAGAAAATCCATTCAGACAATGTACTTCATTTTCTAGTTTTAAGGTTTTGCATACCTCAAAGTGTCTAAAAGTATCTTGGTGAGAGAAAAAAGCCTAAATCTGCCTAGTGTCAGTAAATAAGTGTTAAAATCACAAACTTGCCTTTTACATTCACAGTCTTTAAGAAAGTGTGTTACCAAGTGATTCTACCAGTTGTAAAGTTTTACAAACTTTATCTAAAAGTATCTTGGTAGCAGAAAAATCAGTAAAGTAAACGGGATGCGTGTGGCACAGTGGATAGAGCCTTGGTGTTGGGATCAGGGGGTCACAGGTTCAAACCCCACTGCAGTCAGCATGTCGTTGTGTCCCTGGAGACACTTCACCCCAAATTGCTCTAAAAATCACAAACTGCCTTTAAATAAACCCAATTCCTTAAAAAGTACTTAATATTCTACCAGTTGTAAAGTGTTGCACACTTCAAAGTTTATCTAAAAGTATCTTAGTAACACAATCAAAAGCAAAAAAAGCATTAATGTTAACAAAGCCTCAAATGGCTGACTCCTGAACTCCTTAATGTCCCCCTAACATGACACTTAGACTATGTACATCATCCAAAGAAACACACCAGTAAATACAGCTCTCTTTGTCCGATCTTCAAGCCTCAAAGGGCGGCCTCATGAGCTCCGTAATGTCCCCCTAACATGGCACTCATGCCCCTTTCACACCAACGCGTTTTCAGGGCCGGCTCGGAGCTAGAGCCTGAAAAGTACAGGTTTTTCCTCTTCACACCGCAGCGGCGCCGCCTCTAAGCTCCGGAATCCGGTTCGTTTCCAGCTCCAAAAAATTGTTGGTCTAGCTTGCTAAGAGGCGGCGCCACTTACGTCTCTCTTACATCTCTCTTACGTCGAGGCGGGGGCAGGGGCATGGGCGGGATCAACCTCCTGAAGACCGCAAATAATTCTTGAATGTCGCATATGATGTTTGTAAAGTCCCTAGTAAAGTCGTCCCCTGTAAAGTCGTTCCTTGTAAAGTCGTCCCATGCCTTCCATTTCGTTTCGTAAGAGCATAACCAAAGCGAACAGCGCTTCAATACAATCGGCCATTGTTGTTGTTGTCGATGTGAGGGATTTCCGCGCGGTTTGGCTTTTATGAAGCAGGCACGTAAACGGTTACGTCATGACGCAAACAATGAGGCAATGACGCAGCACCACCCCGGCTCTGGGCGGTGTGAACAAAGCGGGAGCAGAAAAGGGAAACCGGAGCTGAACCAGAAAAGCTCTAGCACGGAGCTAGAATGGGAAAAGGGCTGGTGTGAAAGCCGCATTAGACTATTTTCATCATCCAGGGATCAACACCAGTAAATACACCTCTCTTTGCCCGCTCCAAGAGCCTCAAAGGGCGGACTCCTGAGCTCCGTAATGTCCCCCTAACATGGCACTTAGACTATTTCCATCATCCAGGGAAACACAACTTCAAAGGGGCTTCCTTATAGTTAATAAAGTAATTAAACAATAAAGTGTCATATAACCTTATATTACTATAAAAGAGGCACTAAGTAATATATTTAAGAACACTATCTTATAGAGGGCCATACAATCACCACAGGTGACCAAAACAAGTCATATTATCATACTATCTGGTTTTATCATTGACAAATAATGACCTACGAAGACACTAATGGCGCGTTTCCACTGCAGCGGGTAGCTCGCTTTAAGCGTGCCGAGCCGTGCGGGGCCCGTTTTTGGTTGCGTT